CGCTCGTGTACTGGCGGTCGGTGCGGAACGGGCGCCAGGTCAAGCCGGGGAGCAGATGCGGCCTCCTGTGTCGCGCTCGGCGGCTATAGCGATGAGTGGGTGGAGCGATTCGTCTGGTGCGTCCCCACTCCCCTGGTGGGGAGAGAGGCCGCGAATCGATGTCGTGATGCGGAGCTCTCCACCCGTTGAACGGCGGTGGTTTCCATCGGTGCCCGAAGGTTCCGGTGGATCGCCTGTTCCTAGGGGTCGTTCGGCTCGGGAAGGCCGCGCAGAAGCATTGCAGCCACGGCGATATTCTGGTTTGTCCGAGCAAACTATGGGGATCGTTCCCTCCATCCATGATGTTGCGCTGGACCTGGCGGGTGCGACCCTGGGTGCCACTCGCCGGTTTATGCGCACGGGGCGCAGTGTGGAGCACCGAGCGCGCCGACACAGGTGGTGGCTGGTTCTGCTGTCGTTGTCGTAGCCCCTCGCCGTGCTCTTGTGTGAGCGCGAGGGTCCCCACGCAAGGGTCCGGAGGGGTGTGAGTCTACAAGGACTCCGCTACCACCGGCGGTTGTCCCGGAACATCCGCCATAGCGTACTCTCGGGACGGACGGTGGCTAGGTGCCATGTCGCCGATGCTGGAGCCGTGACTCTCAACATCATCATCCATGAGGTCGAGGAAACAGGTGGGAGCATAGCTCGCCATTCCCACGAATTCGGATGCGAGAGGAGGCGGCGTCAGCATTTTTTGGAGCCCTCGGGCGTACGCGTCCGTGGGGGACGCGAGGCCGTAGGGGAACCGGTCATACGTGGTTGCGGTGCGGACAACGCGGCCGCTCTAGATAATCGGTGGAAGATAGTAAATAACGAGTAAATAACAGAACATATATTACTCACAATGGGGTTTGAGCAGAGAGTTTGCTCGGAATGAAGCGCAGGCAGCTCATCGTTGAAGTCGTCGTGCGTCTCGGAGCCGATGGAGGGCGCTCTTCCGACGGGCACCGGGATGGTTGCCTCCTCACGGAGGTGTAGTGCGCCGAGCCGATCAGCGACGAAGTTTAGACTTCTGAAGATGAAGGCATGGGACGGCTCGAAGATGGGTGGAATCCGCATCCCAATAGGTGGGAGTGTGGGAAACTCCAGTGAGCCGAAGCGAGTCGTATCGTTTGAGCCCGCCATGGTGAAGATGGCGAAAAATGGGCCATCCGATGACCAAAAGTGTGAACGTACAACGTCTTCCCCACGGACGGCGCCAACTGTCGGTGCAGAATGTGACCAACACGTAAATATTTGTAGTTTTGCTATACGTTGTGATTGGAGGTGGCCTCGCACTCAATGACACAGGGTTTATACTGGTTCAGGTAACGTGCCCTACGTCCAGTTTGAGTCGGTTGGTGACTTTATTCCTGAGCCCAGGTGCTCGAAGTTTGCTGTGGGGTTACAAACGGAAGGGAGAAAGATAGGGGGTACAAGAGGTCCGGTCGGACTCTGGTCTGAGGGACCGAGAGTGACGGGAGCTCCGCTATGTGCTAAGTGTTCAAGCATGTGCTTGAGGTTTGAACCTGGTGGTTCTGTTGTTATGTGCTAGTGAACTGATCGATCTGATGCATCTGAGTCTTTTGAGAGAGAGCGCATCCCCTTGTATAGATGAAGGGGATGGCCTTACAAGTGAGAGGGAGAGAGTGCGTATGCTACTAAGTCTTGTTGCTCACGCCGGCGTGTACAAGATGATAGTAGGCGCCCACAATACTGTTTAACGTTAGGTGCACGTGGGATGTTGCGTCGTCTTCTTCAGGTATGGCAGACGTCGGTGCATGCCACACTGTTGATACCCAGAGGCATGCAAGGGGTTTTACCATGTTCGCCTGGTGCGGTAAATGTCGGCGCCCACAACACTGCTGATGCCTCAGAGGCATGTGGGAGCCTTACCGTAATTGTCTGGTATGGGAGTTGATGGCGCCCACAACATTGTAGAGAAAATGTCGGCGCCTACAACACTGCTTGAGTTCTGTCATGCCAGGAAGGTCGCAGGGTACTGTTCTGCAGGTGTACAGGGTACGGTCCTCGGTATTGCGGTTTGACTTGTGCACCCCGCCTTACTTTCTCCGTCCATTTCCTGGTCCTTACCGAGCGGGCGTCCCCGGTCGGTTGATCTCAGTCGGTTCTGATTGCGCCAGTTGGAGAGGAGCTATAAGCAGGGGCTTGGTGTTTCCCCGATCGGAGATGCGGGTCGGGGTCGGAAGCGGTGTTTGGCCAGGCCTTTCGGTCGGAGAGGCCGTCCGGAGGCGGGCCGGAGACCGAAGCGAGTGCTTCGGTCGGAGAGGCGGGCCGAAATCGGAAGCGGGCGCCGTTCCTCCTCGGTCAGGCCTTCCGATCGGTGATTGGATCGTCCTTCCGGCTTGTTGTTTGGGTACTTGGGTCGGCCTATGAGTTACGTGTTGTTTGCAACGTTATATACTAGACCAAGCCTTTATTGAAAAACCGATCCGTATGGGATCCGGGTTTATGAACCCGATACATGATTTATCAGCCAAAAGCAAACGGTGGAGTAGTTCGCCCGTTTAAGTCGAAGAAGCGTCTCAAACTCTCAAGGTACACGTCGATAAGTGTCTATCCCTGCTATTTTCCTGCACTTGTTATTTTTTTCTGTATCTTTACCTTTGTTCAATTCAATAAAAACCTCCGGTAGGGGCTCCTTGCCCCTCCTGTTTATTAAAAAAAAATGTCTATCCCCATACACGTACCGTAGCCTGCACGCTCCAGGGGTCCTATTAGATGGACCCAAAGCGAACAGAACAGTACGATAGCCTCGCTCAGGACCCCAGGTCAGTGCACTTTGCATCGAAACGTTGAGGTGTCAAAACTATAGGAAGGACGATGACCAGTGGCTGAAATATTAAATATAAATTAATTATGAAACTAAATACACATATTGAGATTAATTTATGAGACAAATTTATTAAGTCTAATTAGTCTATGATTTAACAATGTTGTGCGGCAGTAAACATGTGCTAATAACAAATTAATTAGTCTTAATGAATTCATCTCGCGGATTACTCTTGGATTTCTGTAATTTATTTTTTTATTAGTATTCAAACAGCTCATACGACACTTCGTATGATACCGATGTGACACCTCTTCAACTTTAGCCTCTACGGCCCTATTCGTATGTCCTTAAACTCGGCTTGATTTGCTTATTTTTTCCATCCGGAACCGTGTTTTTCTCTCACAAATTTCTCCAGCATTCCTCCAAACCATCCAGATTCCTTTAAAATTCAGACAAACGAACAGACCCCACGTCCAAACACCCCTGAGGTGGTATGATAGCCTGGTAGGAGCAAGCCTGTTTCTGTTTCTATTTCTATTCCTGCCACGCCCGGGCGGCAAAAAGTTGCTCAAGTGTGTAGCGGATATATGTATGTGCGAGCCTCAAAAGCAACTGAACATCATGCCTAATGCGGTCTCGCTTTCCTGTGCTGCAATTATGGACGACCGCAACATTCGAACGACTAAAGTTCCCCTCTTTATTCTCTTGCTGCTGTCCAGCATTGCTAACCACCTGTTCGGCCCAATGCCGATCATACATCGTGCAAAAGGCACGAAATTAACAATAATAGTACTCCGAGGCCATTTGCATTTCGTTAATAAAGTGTGTAAATCAATTTTTTGTTGCTCAAATAAGTGTTCGTAGTGTTCCGACTTTTTTATGGTTGTGTGCTTCTTTTTTTTATTGACGAAGTCACCACAGGCGTCTTGCTATCCGCGAGAACGTCGCTTTACCACTGAAAGCACAACGCCGTTAAATCCTGGAATAAATCCAGAAAAATATGAGGCGCCTCGCTGTCCGCGGGAACGTCACTCACCACTGAAAGCACAACACCGTTAATCCTAGAATAAATCAAGAAAAATACGAACACCCGAGCCCCCGTGCCAAGTCAAGGACTTGAACATAGCTGGATATGTTCCACCACAAGAAACCTAACCAACTGAGCTAGGCTTGCTTTATTAGCAGAGACCATAAGAATTTTTTAAGACTTTATATTATCTCGATGTAATGTTATTGAAAATTAATAAATTATTCCTTTATAAAAAAAAATACATAGGATACATATGAGTATCTTGCTGTTACAATATTCTCCACAGTATAGAAGGGAATAAATCCGTGGAAGTTGTAAGGACGGTGGAACTCAGAAACATACACATACCTTTAATTTATTCCTATACAAAGGGTAAATACTTTCTGATCAGGAGTTGCCAAAAGAATTACATGCATGCGCAGCTACTAGTCTACAACATGCTATCTGTTGGCTATGTGAATATATATGAATCTTTTAAGGGCCTGTTCAGGTTGGTCTTTGGTATATTTGCGTCTTCCAAATTAAGTTAAAAGACCCACTTTTCACATGTCTGGCCTGAAACAATGATTACAATAAGTTAAAAGACCCACTTTTCACATGTCTGGCCTGAACAATGATTACAATAAGGCAAAATATTAGGTACAAACCAATTAACCTATGCAAACTTAGAAACTATCGACCAGGACCACTTGATGTTGATCCAATGGATAGGGTGAAGGGGCTTAAACGCAAAAAACAAAGGTCAACGGGTGGGGGCTTAAGCGCAAAAAAATCTTACCTCTCACCCCATCCATTGGATCAGCATTTAGTGATCTTGATTGATAGTTTTCAAGTTTGCACAGATTAATTGGTTTATACCTGATACGTTGCCTTACAATAAATACCCTACTCCTGTAATGTTTTATGTGTTTGTTTTTGTGCAACGACGAGGTAATTTAATAATAACATGTTCACCAAGGCACCAAGCTAAGCTAGCTAGGTGCTTGAGCAACACTTCTTTCATCAGTTCTCCTGTATATTATATTTACCTTGTCATGTATATCCACCACCTTAACTTTCGTGGACGATCGAAATGATGAGTTGAGGCGAAACCGGACGGTAGATGCGCTGCTCGTTTTTAGTTTACCAAGTCGGCCTGTGCATGCGTGTAGCTTCTCCTCAGCTGCAGCCGCCGGCGGCGAACCCGATCTTGCTGTTCTTGACGTCGTAGACGACGCTGAACGTCTGCTGCTGCGTGTTGCCGATGATGGCGACGCTGCGGGCGGGCGCGAAGGCCAGGCACGTGGTGGCGCTGTCCACGTCCACCAGCAGGTTCGTCGCGGCCAACTTCAGCGCCGCGCCGCCGGCGAAGGCCATGCTGACCTGGGGCACGCGCAGCCGCGACGCCTGGCCCTGGAAGCACGTGTCCAGGATGGAGAAGTCGGACGCGCGGGGCGTCCCCTTCATGGCGCCCGCCACCGCCTTGCTGAGCGCCGAGTACACGCCCGTGGGCAGGCGCGTGATCACCGTGCCGGAGTCGATGATGGTCGGCAGGCTGGAGTAGGCCGACGCCGACACGGAGAGCGGCTTGCCCGCCACCGTAATCCCGGTCATCTTGATGAAGTAGAGCGAGTCGTCGAGGGAGCTCGACGCCATGGGCGTGTACGAGTACTGCCCCGGGTTGTAGGAGCCGATGGACAGGTACCCGGAGGAGGACGACGACGTCGGGAGGCAGTAGGAGAAGGAGTAGCCCATGCTCGGCGCCAGCTGGTACAGCAGCGACAGCTTGTTGCGCGCCAGGCCGATGAGCCCCGCCGATTGGCCGAAGAGCCCCTCGTTGTCTTGCCCACAGCCGTAGTAGAAGTTGGGCACGCTGGTGGAGCTGAACGACACGGTGTCCTTGCTCAGGTACCCGACGGAGAAGGAGCTGTCGCCGTAGCTGGCCTGGTAGATGCAGACGTTGGAGGTGGAGCAGGCGGCCGGGTTGAGCGTGGCGGTGGTGAGGTCGCTGCACTGCGGCGCGGAGCAGGACACGGAGGCGTAGGAGCTGGACGACTTGGGGTTGAACACGGGGCCGGACTGGCGGTGGCACGACACGATGCAGGGGGAGCACTGCAGCCAGGTGAGCGAGGACCCCGTGTCCACGACCATGACGTACTGCTTGGCCGGCGTGCCGAGGCCCATGCGGGTGACGTAGTTGCCCACGCCCACGGACGAGCCCGGGCCGAGCGGCACGGACGCGAGGGACGCGTCGTCGGGGGACGACGACGACCCGCGCAGCGTGGTGGGACGCGAGGACGGCGTCTTGGCGAGGCGCGCCGCGAGCGACGCGATGCGCGCATGGTCGTGGGTGAGCACCGCGGAGAAGGGGACGTCGGCGGGCAGCGGCGCCGGGGAGCAGGGGCTCCGTGGGTGGTGCAGCATCAGGTGGAGCCCCGTGCTGTTGAGGTGCTGGAAATCTGCAGTTTCAGATTAATTTGAACATCCGTCAGCTAATTAATTCGTGAAAACTTACAGCGATCTTGACAAGGGTCGTTGTAATAACGTTTTTTTTTCTGCTTCATGCATGTCAATGCGCAAGTAAAGAAATTATAAAGGCATCCCTTACTATTTCTTCAGTTCGTCTTCGATCAGTGCATTGTCGTGGCCACGACACCGAACACGTACGCATGCACTGAGCCTAGCTACCGCACCAGTTGCTGTCGTGCAGTTTTCTAGCCAGTAGCCTTATATGATTGGATAGTGATGCAGCATATATAATGTTCTGACGTCTTACCAAACGTTGCAACGTGGCCAATATAAAGACGAATACACAATCATGTACTAGTATATATACTGTAGTACAGTTCCATGCTACGAGTAGTTCTTTAAAAAAATATATATCTGGCCTTGTTTAGATTGGGGTTAGGAATCAGTATTTGGCACTGTAGTATTTTTGTTTGTATTTGACAATTATTGTCCAATCATAGCCTAACTAGGCTCAAAAGATTCGTCTCGTAATTTACAATCAAACTATGTAATTAGTTATTTTTTTATCTACATTTAATACTCTATGCATGTGTCAAAGATTTGATGTGATGGAGAGAGAGTGAAAAAACTTACAATCTAAACAAAGCCCTGTACTAGTTTTTGCTGTGAACTCGGACTAGTGTAGATTGTCGTCTTCAAACATGCAGAGCAGTCATCGGATTTGGAACGAACTGGCATGGCCAGGCAAAAGGCAGCCTAATCTACATAAGATTATTGTTTGTCCTCCTGCAGTCCTACTAGGTTGTCATTCCCAAAGAGATCGAAGTTTCGGAGTACTTTATTTTACAGGTTGGGGTACGGCTTGTGAGTGGGCGAGTGGCAATCATGCATATGACGTGATACAGCCATACAGGGTACGTATATGTACCATGTACGTACAACTACAGCTTGATGCACGAGCACTCTCTCACGAGGACAGCTTTAGAACTTAGAGCGTAGCTAAATGATGTACGCATCAACGGGTTGTAATCGTATTAAATTCCATCCTAGACGTGTTAATTTGAGGTAGTTGGCAGAGAAGCTATTATTGACATGACATTGTGAACCATACGGCGCTTACTTCCATGGCTAATAAAACATCAAACTTTTCCTAATTTTCATATGTACTGTATATAGTACTCCTAGCTTGGAGACAATTTGGGTAACCACGTGTGATACTTCAGCTGTTAAGCTTGAGACATGTTCGATTCATAGAACACATAATAGTTCTAGCCACTTATTTGAACAGTTAAGTTTGGTACGGAGTACTACTCATGGTCACTGAAGATTACGTAAGCTTTTCTTTTTTACCCTCGTTTAAATCAGTGCGATTTCACTACCGAACGAACATGTAACACGAGAACAAGACAAAAGTAAAAAAAAGAAGAAGAAGAAGATGTTGACACGGTCCTAGCTGAAAAAAAAACATTGTGCTAAATGGCCAGCAGCAGGTTAATTGGAGCGGTTGTCGGCTAGTCACAAGGTGGCATCCATTTGAACACGCCTTATGTGACTTTTGCTCCCAAGTACATACCGCCCAATCATAAATGGCCAGCAGAAAGGGGAAACTGAAGGAGGCGTCTTCCATCTCGATCGGCATTGAAAACCATGCATATCTGTCCGGTGACGTTTCTGACGCAGAGGAGTGCACTGGCTGGCTGCCCACTTCGACGGACATCCTTTTGCGGACGTGATAGATACGGTGGTTGGCGGTGGGAATTGGGGAGGGGTTGATTGGCTTCGTTCACGGGTGGATCGGAGGAACAAGTACTCAGTTCATGATCTGAATCTCAACTCGGCATAGCTAGTGGACAGTGGAGTGAAGCCATACGCGTCATGCATGGCGCTGAATTGCCATCAATTCCGATCCATTGGAGCCGTGTGATCGATGGATTCCAAAAAGGCGGTAAGTTCAAGCCTCTAGATTTCATCTTCTCAGGATAAGTTGGCCAAAATGGCTGTTGCCAAAGAAATACTTGTGTGCTACGCTATGCATATGCATGTCGGCAGAAGCAGACATCCACGGTTGATGGATTAGGCTATGGATGGTATCAAATGGACGGCGTGTCTCCTCCACTGTTTTGAGTCAAAAGAAGAAGAAATTCGACGGTGTACATGTGACTCACACACCAGCCAGGCTATCAGTAGCACAAGGGTAAGCACCGATTGTCCGTCAGAAAATACATGCGCCTATCTTTTTTTTCGCCTATCTTCGCCCCGTTCGCTTGGCTTATAAGTCGTACTTTTTCAGCCAACTAATAGTATTTTTCTCTCACAACAAATCAGCCAATAGTACTTTCAGTCATTACTTATCAGCCAAGCGAACAGGACAATAGCTGTCAGCTTTCGTTCAGTTATTACTTGCTTTGGCCCCGTTCGCTGGTCTGAAACTTAGCTGAAACTGGTTGGTTTTGTGAGAGAAAACATTGTTTGGCTGGTTTGGATGAACAGTGAATTGAGTGGGCAACCAGCCGGCTGGTCTGATTGTTTCAGACCAGCGATATGCCTGTCGTGGACAAGGCAACAGGTTCAGCCTCCCTGCTTGAAAAAAAAAAATATGTTTTGCACACGAACAATTCAGCTCGAACTATGATTATGGCCACCGTACGTAGTTTCAGTTTCTGTCTGGAGATCATGAATCTAGCGCCGCCGATAATTTCACTTAATTTGAAAGATGAAACAAAACAGTACTGTCGTCAAAGTTCAGTACCACTAGATGCTATCGTTTACGAGCCTGATCAGTTACATGCAGAAAAAATCATAGCAAGCAAACACACGAATTATCAGGAAAAAAAAACGAATAACGCATAAAGATCAGGAGCAGCAGTACCCTTTACTTGTGACGAGCAAGCATCGGTGATGTCCCTGATAGGAGTGGCCACTGCGAAGAGCAGCGAGAGGGCAAGAAGCCGAAGCAGCGCCATCTTGTCTGAAAGCAGCTTCCTCGCCAGTCCTCCTTGAGGTGTCTGTGGCCTGTGGCTCTATGACGCTAAGCCCGGCCACCTCGCGGCCTTTTTATAGAGATTCCGATGGTGCGCCGCGCACTTCCTGCTTGGGAATCCCCGGGGTAGCTTTCAGTCTCTCGCATCAGCGGTTGAAAAACGATCCGTTTTAATCCAGTCCAACCACCTGAGTACCACTGCTTCTATAGTTCGATAACTGCTTTTCTCTACTGAGACATCGTATCAATTCAGGCATCAGACTTTTTTTTCATCTTCTTCTTGTTTTCATTTTTGGATCCATTTCTCTGATTGGAAGCTTCTGATTCCGTATGCCGATGGACTGTACCGGTAGTATTGTTGCCTTCAGAATTAGGACTGTTGTTGCCCTTGTGATGTATGCAGCGAGATGGTAGCCAAGACCAAGAGCGACAGCCAACAGGTAGCTGCTTTTCTACAGCCCAAAGCCAAGCAGCCTGTTCGGGAGGTCGTATCGTATCGTGGATTATTTACTGCTGACTGGTTTGGTGTGAGAGAAAAACACTGTTCCCGGCTGAAAATTTACGATCGTTTACGAGCAAGCAAACAGGCTGAAGGTAGGTGCACAATTATGAAGCCGCCTTCTACTAACCATGCTCAATTAAGCTGGCGGTTAAGCGCACCTGTCAGTCTAAACAGAACTCTCAGCAGTTATATAAATGGCGCCCAACATCGCTCGTACTAGCTTTGACAGATGGTAGACCGATCGAGGTGGTTACCAAATGCTATGCATTAGTGGGGTCAGCTCTTGGTGCTGGATCGGCGACTCTTTCTCTCCTCGTTTAATTGAAATCGGTACAGCTCCTACCACATGCAACGGGCGGGGGGGGGGGATGCTATGCATTAGTGGGGTCAGCTCTTGGTGCTGGATCGGCGACTCTTTCTCTCCTCGTTTAATTGAAATCGGTACAGGGGGCGGGGGGATGACCAGCTACTCCGTATACTGTACTTGTCACTAGCAACTACCAAGTACACTTGCCTCTGACAGATATCCGCTTGGTCGGAGCTACTATAGCTAATGAGTTCGGTCTCGTTCTCACTTCAGATTTTATTTCTGGCTGGAAAAACGGCTGAGGCTGACGCTGATTTATCGTGAGAGAAAAACACTATTATTTTACTAAAAATGTATTCGCCCTATTCGTTTGGGTTTGTTTGGCTTATAAGCCATGGCTGAAAGTACTGTTGACTGGTTTGGTGTGAGAGAAAAATATTATTCGTTGACTGATAAGTCATGACTTATAAGCCAAATATGACGCAACGAACATGCTGATTGCTGATAAGTTCCCGTGAACAGGGGCCCAGGACGACAAAGAAAAGGTGAAAGTGACATGCATGCTACTAATCGATCTGTAATCAACCGGCATCATATCATATAGAGTGGTAATCATGTTCCTGCAGGCAGGCAGCACCGAGTTGCAGTTGTTGCAGAAGAAAAGAGAATCTAGGTAGCCAGCATCTGCATCTGATTAGCCGGTGACGGAATCTTTTCATCGGAACGAAGCTTCAGCCAGACGCCTCCTCCGACTCTTAGCTCGTTTCCATGTTCGAACAGTGTCGATTAGCCGGTGACGGAATCTTTTCATCGGAACGAAGCTTCAGCCAGACGCCTCCTCCGACTTTTAGCTGGTTTCCATGTTCGAACAGTATCTTTCTCCCACGGTATTTGAGTATAAGCCAAATTTCAGCGAAATGAACAGGCTCCGCCTCCGATCGGACTCGGTGCAGCACACTGCAACCGCAATGCACAGCTGCTGCCCGCAGGAAATGACAGAAGAATAATAATCTCGTGGAGGCAGGCAGGCAGGCAGGCGCCGAGGGGCACCAACCACATGAGCTGTTCCGCCGCGCGTGGCGGCCTCACCGGTGACCGATCCATCGCCATTCGCCAGGCAGCTCCATCTATCGGGCATCGGCGGCCGATAAATAAATGCCCTGTTCATTTAGACTGGTTTGTTTGTTTTCAGTCGACGAACATTATTTTTCTCTCATACTAAATTAGTACTTTTAACTATGGCTTATAAGTCAGCTGAAAGTTGCGCGGCCGTGCACCGAAAATTCGTCCCCGCCCATCAAAGGCGTGGAAGAAAAGGATGCGCGCACAATCGTGCGCCCAGGGCTGCTGTGGCGCTAGTATATTATTAGGTAGCAGTAGCAGGTAGCGCCATGGATATATGTATACATGCTGCTTATGGTGCGGTGCGCCGGTGTGGCGTTAGTGTTTAGGCACAACATGTTTTTCTAAACTAAGCCCTTGTTTAGTTGTAGGAATTTGGATTTTGGGGCTACTGTAGCACGTTCGTTTTTATTTGACAAATAGTATTTAAATATGGACTAATTAGGCTTAAAACGTTTGTCTCGTAATTTCCCACCAAACTGTGCAATTAGTTTATCTTTTCGCCTACATTTAATGCTCAATGCACGGGCCGCAAACATTCAATATGACAGGTACTGTAGCAACTTTTTAGAAATTGGGGTGGAACTAAACACGCCGTAAGTGGCACAGCATGCTTTATATGCATATGGTTAAAGAGGATGCTGCCAGCCTGCAACGTCGATAAGCACGGTAATTCAATTCAAACCCCACGACGCAAATAAGCGCTTAAACAGGCTTAGAAACTTTAGCTTTTTTCGACTTGAAACTTACGCTCTGTTCGGCTAATATTAAATCGGTTTCTACTGATTTGTACAACTGATTTATTGCAAGATAAAAATACTGTTCCACGACTAATTTGTACGAATTAAAACCGGCTAAATAGTACCAGTGAACAGTCGTTAGGTTGTGCTCGGCTGTGCTACTCCTGCAGCGTTGCAGGCTGTGGCTGCAGAGCCTCAAACACAGATATACAGTAACACACAGCAGCAGCCGGCCAAAATTGGCTGTACTGATCAGGCCCCTAAGCATTTTACCCACCTTTGAAGTATTTATTTAAGAAATAAAAAGAACCAGGTGTCAATGACACCGTCGGGAAAGGGGGGGGGGTGAGAATTTGTTGCTATGCACAGGCACCTACACTGTACATGCTTCGTACCGAGTCTACTGAGTTTGATGAGGTGCGTGTAGGTCCACGATGTTTTGGCATGGTAAACTCCAAATGAATAGTGATGGTACTACGTACGAAGAAATCTGAGGGAGCAACCAGTGCAATGTGCAATCCTATTAGTCTTCTTCTATTCCTTTTTTATTTAAAAAAACAGTTTTCTTCAGTCCTTTGAAGATGAATAAAACCAATTCCATTTTTCGTTACCATGTTTCTTAACCATATTTTAGCCCATGGGACAATCAAAGTTTGGGCCAACCAGGTCAACGTAGCTTGTTGAGCCAATTCGGCCGTTGTTTGGGTTTAGACAAAGAAAAAATAGCTGGGCCAACAGGCCCACAAGCTACCGGCGGCTATGCCTCTCTGGGCCAAGTAGTAGACCTCAGCCATTAGGCTCCATTTCAGCAGAAATAAGCCCAACCCAGAGCCTTGGCCCATTCGGATCAATTGCTCGTTTGGTTCTTCCCTTTGTGCGGACAGTTTGGATATTGAACAGTCATTCAATCGGTTCAAGGAACAAGGAATATATAAAGGCCTTGCAGTATTAGGACTTGAAGTATCGAAATATTTGAATTTTTTAGAAAATAAAATTTTATTTTAGCCTCTGCAAAAATTTTATATATAAGTAAAATCATTATTATAGTTCGAGCCTCTAGTTGTTTTTTTATAAAAATTGTCAAAAAGACGAGTAACCCTTTTTAAAAGACAACCACAATGTTTGACAAAGATCTCTATAGCTATAGCCTCTAACGTGCAACTTCAAAGTGATATATTGCTCTCTTTTTAAAGGATGTTCTAGAAACAAGTTCAATATGTTGCCCTATGCTGGCATCCTCCTGTTTTCCTCAAAAAAATATGTTGCCCTGAAAATAACCTGTTCACATCATTTCTCTACGAAGTCGAATAGACCAATAAAATTGCACTTGCTCCCACGCAAATTATGTATCAATGTTAGGATATTAGATTTTTATATGCATTATATGCATATTTTGGTGATACTAAATAAATTTATTTAGACTGTTTAACTCTATCTAAACACGGTCTAAATGCTGGATATAGATGACTAATAAATATTTACTCTTGTGTTTAGAGTACCACTGACTCAAAACGGTTATATAGATGACATAAGGAATTTGTTGAGAAGAACATGATGCTGCGAGAAAGCTATTGGAGGTTTGGAGGTGGTTGCGAGAGCTCCCCTAAGAATTGGTAGGACGCATTACGAACTTCAAGTTTGGAAACTTTGGTGCATCAGGAGGTCCAACTTTTGGCAATTGCAAGTTGCTGGAGTCCGTGGAGGATGTGAGGAAATTGTGTTCACGCCCTAGTGATGTCTCTAAAGACTACCGATGCTTGAAGCAAGAGAGAGAAGTTTAATTTTTTACACCAGAGAGAGAAGGTTGAAGGAAGGCTCAAGCATCGAAGTGTGCTATTGTAGAGACCGCGATGCTGAATGAAAAATCTAACATTTGACTAGTTATGGCAGAAGTTTTATCGATAATTAATGTATTGCTATATAAGCATTTCTTTTTTATATCTATATCTATACCTAATAATAAAGAGGTAATTTTTTTCTCTATCTATTTTTTGGTCCGTCCATTTTTATTGCTTATCTTCCTCTAACTACTAGACAATGGGAAGTTTCTTCCGTCCGGACTTATATATATAACCCATGCTCAAACGAGCTAGAATAGCTTTTGTCAAGCATGATACGGAGAGTCCGATTCCAAAACGTATTGGGTCGTGTATGTGACCCGAACTCATATACCGTGTCCATATATATTAGAACAACACGTGTCTAGCGATGATACTGAGTCCGATTCTAATATATATTGGGCCCAATTGGAGTATGTACTCTTATTAGTGTACGACCACGTTGGTCCGTCGTTTGGATGTGTCATGTAATAC